GGAGGGAGAGCGCGAAGGAGAGGGGAGGGCAGAAGGAGGGCGGGAGAGAGACGTGGGGATGGGGGCGGGGAGACGGAGCGAGAGGGGAGAAAGCGGGAAGGAGAGGGACAAAGACAGACGGCCAGACCCGCCGGACCTCGAGCAGCCCCCCCGGTCTCTGGGTACCGTCTACAGGGTGCTGCTTGGCTGGGTAGAGCACTCTGGGGACGCTGAGGATCTGGGGATCAAAAGTCAGCCTCGGCTGGTAGTCCCCGCATTTTGGGAGGCCGAAGCGAGCGGATGGCCTGAGCCTGCGGGTTCGAGACCGGCCCGGGCCACTCGGTGAGACCGCGTCCTTACACTTCATCAAAAATGAGCCGGGAGCTGGGCTCGGTGGCTCAGCCTGTCATCCCGGCACTTTGGGGGGTTGAGGTGAGTGGATTGCCCGAGCCTGCGCGTTCGAGACCCGCCTCGGCAACTTGGCGAGACCTCATCTCTACAATAAAAAAAAAAAATTAGCCAGGCATGGTAGCGCTCCAGTCTGGGCGACAGAGTGAGACTGCAACCCAGAAAAAAAAATGAGCTGGGCGTGGTTGCACTGGCCTGTCGTTCTGGCCACTTGGAAGGCTGAGGCAGAAGGATCACCGGAGCCCGGCAGGTCAATGATGGGGTGGCCGTGAGCGTGCCACCGCACTACGGCCTGGGCAACGGAGGGAGACTCACCAGGCTCCGGGTGGCAGTGCAAGCCCCGACCACCAAAGCAAGCCGCAGCTGGCAACCCACAGCTTCCTCCACTACCCAGTCCTGGGGTGAGATGGGGGAGATGCAGGGAACTGAGTGCAAGCCAGGACCGTGGGTTTGGGGAGTGTCCTAACTGCCCACTCTCGCCACAGGGAAGGGTCAAGAATGCCCCAGCCCGCCTTGGGCATCTTCCCAGCGGATTTCGCAGGCCAGAGCAAGGATATCCTGTGTGGAGACCGTGTCCCTCCCTCACACTCTGCTCACCAAGGACAGCCAGCTTGGGATTGGGGACAGTGGCAGCCACACTTAGGTGTCCCACCCAGGTGCCCCACCCCTTCCTCCAGTGCTCCCCGTGCCGTGGTGGCTTGCAAAGGACATCTGGCCAGCCACTAGTCTCTCTCCCTCCTTTCCTGGGGACCCTTTCCTGGCTGCGTCTCTTCTTACTTCCCCACTTTAAATAAAATCACCTGGCCAGGTGTGGGGGCTCATGCCTTTGATCCCAGCACTTTGGGAGGCTGAGGTGGATACACTGCTTGAGTGTGGGAGTTCAAGACCAGCCTGGACAACGAAGTGAGACCTCGTCTCTGCAAAAATCAGAATAATTAGCCAGGCGTGATGGTAAGCGCCTGTGGTCCAGGCTGCTCGGGAGGCAGAAGAGGTCGAGGCGGCAGCGAGCCACGATTTTTTTTTTTTTTTG